CTGCATACTTGTAAACATAAAAAACATAAACACATTTTCATAAGATGCAAACTTAAATGCTTACTCACAAAAATATTTATACGTATTTTAATACATACATACGTTTATTCATACACATTTAAATACTTACATAAGGTTATTCATACAAACTTACATTCAAGAATAATGACATACATACTTACTGAATACAAACATACATACATGTATACATAAGCACAAACTTACATAAACACATACGTACATACCTACATACATGCATACATAGATACATACAAACGTACTTACATTTATTCATACAAATTTAAAGTTACTTAGAGACATTCATACAACCATACGTACAAAAATACATACATATCTGCAAAAAAACTTCCATACATACAAACATTCAAAATGAAGTCTAACATAAAGTAATGAATACAAACGTACATAGTCTTATACATAAGAAGAATGCAAATAAATTACCAATCATACATAAATTTACCTAATTGCTTACATACTTTTAAACCTGCAATCTATTATACAAAAACTTTTGTTTATACACATGCAAATATTTTGACTTAATATTTCTGCTGACCTTTAAAGTAGAACCATATTTAAACACACAAACTAGCTTACATTCACTTCACACTTTCAAGACAAATATGTACACACATTCAAACAAAAAGAGCCAGGCATTACAGACTGGCATTCATACGTCTTTACATACAATCATATAAACGTGCCTTTTATACTCATATACGAAAATACATAATCACATGCCTACAAACAGACATGGATCGTACTTTACAAGCATGCAACGGCTCATGTGTACAAACTTTCTTTTTAAACAGACATAAGACTTCAATCATAAATTTGTACAATTTGCAAACAAGCAAATTTTTTTAATGATTTTAAACTGAAAATCATACATTGATACAAAATAATTGCTGGTCTTCATTCACTCAATCAAGCGGACATGCAGTCACGAGTTCTTCTTACACAAAAACATACAAAAATACTTAACTTCTAAACACTCAAATGAATACACGCAACTAGTATGTACATACATGATTAATTACATTCATACATGCAAAAAGTTGTACACTTTTACATAGATACATCGTTTATACAAATAGACACACACGCAAGTTTTGCTTAGGCACATGCATAGATTTTACTTATTAGTTCTGCTGACCTTTAAAATACAACCACATGTAAGCACACAAACCAAATTACATTCACTTCACACTTTCAAGACCAATATATACAAACTTTCAGACAAAAAGAATCACGCATTACAGACTGGCATACATACGTCTTTACATACAACAAATAAACGTGCCTTTCATACTCATATACCAATATAGATAAGTAATTGCCTAAAAACATACATTGATACAAACTATTTGCTTGTATCCATTCACTCAACCAAGCGGACATGCAGTCAAGAGTTCATACTTACATAAAAACATACAAAGTTACATAACTTCTAAATAATCAAATGAATACACAAAAATATTATTACATATAGTAGAATACAAATAGTAGAATACACACAAGTATAACAAATAGTAGAATACACACAAATGAAAATAACTTGATTAATTACCTTTATACATGCAAAAAGTAGTACACTTTTACTTAGATACATAAAATTTACATGAATACCCACATACGCAAAGCATATGTGCGTACATATATACTATGCATATAGTATCTTATCAAACCTTCAAGCAGAAAAACTAGAACATTAGTAAAAATCAAGTTGGGTTATAGTTATTCTTCTAGTTACAATTGTTTTGGTTTACAAGCGCATAAGGAAAAAAAATGTACTCATACATACAAACACATCAACCTGCATACATACACGCATACACTAAAGATATTTACTTGCATTTGTTTATAAACACAAATATTCACACAAAAATATAATCATTACGTTTCACGTATAAATATATTCAAATACAGTCAAACCTACATACACAATTTGATTTTACAATGCAAACGTCGCAAGCAGAGATTTGCAAAAAAATGCCAGCTTTCAGCCATGTCATTTTCACAGTTTAGCAATTTTTTTCATCTTAAAAAAAAAAAAAATGGTGATAAACACTTTTTTAATATGTCTGTTGATCTCCCCAACGAATTTTCCAACGGTATCAAACTTCAAGTCAAAATTGACCAGTGAGTCATGAGAAGCGCTTTTAGTGGTCAGAAGAAAAAACTAAGGCTTACTAACTTGCATAGGACGGGAAAGTTTCAAAACAAATTGTTGAAAGTTTTTGTTGAACGGTTCGAATAAAGTTTTTTGACATATCGACAATTACTTTCAAGTAATTATTTAGTTTTGTACAGAAAATTTAAGACAGTTGAAATTTTGGTTCGAAACAAAAATTTTAGCCATTGTTCTAAAAATCTTAATCTTTTTAAGAATTTTTTGTTTTTTGATTCGTTTGTTAGTTCTGTAGTTTGATATATCTTCAGTTGACGATTAGGCTGCAAGTTTAACCGTACACCAAGTTACATTGACTAGAGTTGCACATTATGTTGTTTTCTGGCTAAACCATCAAAAATTTTATTGTTTAAAAAAATATATTCAGTTCTGAAAAAGCTATTTATACAGGTTCAACTGTTCTTTTTTTCATCTTTTTCCCTCGTATTCATGCAATATCGATAGTTTGAGCCATATTATGTTAGAAAATAATCTTTTAACTATGATAAAACTAACGGTAAAGGGTATAATTTAGAGGAAACAAAAGTTGTTCTAAGCTGACATCAACTCATTTTTTCAGTAATACAGAAAACTTTCGGTAAGTTTTTAATTTTGTGCAAAATAAACAACCCAATCTTCTTGTGCGATTTTGATTTTCTAGAACGAACGTTTTTTAGACATGATTCTAAATGAAACACAAATTTTTTTATAAATTTAAAGAATAAAGAGCAAAAAAAACTTTTGTTCTTTTTGTTTTATTCAATTTAGTTTACAAAACAAACAGCTAAACATTAATAATTTCAACTTAACTATTTGAAAAAAATAGCACAAAACACAAAACAGACTGAAAATTTTTCAATTGATGCCAAATATAACAGAGATTGATGCGTTCCAATCCTTTTTCTTGTTTTTTGCGAGCAACTGGCGTTTACATTTGGCTAATAACGGTTGTCTGCCTCCTGCACCAAGGGCTCACTGTTAGACTGATTTCTGCAATGAGAGTAACAAGGTGGAGCTGGTGGCTTCATTTCCAGGCCGACTTGGGCCTCTCGAAGAATGCGCTCATAAGGAGATGAGTAAATCTAGATCTTTGATTAGCATAATTTTGGCTATTTGCGCTGAATCGATGTTATAAACACCGATAATCAAAAAATCATCTTTTCTGATGGCCTTTTAAACCATATTTTTAAAAGATATAAATGGAATAAGATAACCTAAATGGAAAATATGGGATTTAGAGTGATCCAATTATCATTAATTGAATTTAATTATTGTCTAATAAGGAAAGATAATCTCTGTGAGCAGTCTTGTCAAAAATAGTACGTTCTTCAGCGGAATCAGTCAAAACTTACACATACAGTTTTTTTAAAGTTTTGCAGTAACGGAGAGCAAACATTGAATTGAAATGGGTAAAATTATGAATCAAATGATGAAAACACGCGCCTGCAGAGGCGTTGTTATTGCGCTAAAAACAGAACAAATCTTATCATGAATTGGAAATGAGTTAGCTGATAAATGCTTTGTTTTGTATAATCAAGACCACAAATTTTCTAACTTTTGATAGTAATTTTATCGACTCTTCTTCAAATTGAACAGTTTTGGACAAGTAATAAAACACAGCATAGTTATGGGCTCACGTTCATATCTTATATTCAGCGGCTAATCTGAAACGAACACATAAATTTCCCTATGTTTGATTGAGATTTATGATTGGGTATAGATGTCAGTCCACAACCAGAAAGATTTTCAAAGAGAAATCCTTTACATTTTAACCTGATTTAGTCTTACCAGAATTCGTTTATCTGCTGGGAAATTTATCCAATTTGGCTACGCTGTTTATGATCTATCACTGGCTGATAAGCGAATGTTTCGAATAAACTAGAAGTAATGTATATAAGTCCGTCTTTGATTTTTTACGCGTGTTTATCGGTATGTGTAATTGTTAATATTTATGTATATATGTTCAGAAGTGTAACAATAGCTAAGAGTTAAGCCACAAATCAAACTCAATGTAGCTTTGGTTCCAGTTAGTCAAGATTTTCTAGAACATTTTACTAGGTGTTGTATCTGTAGTATCTTCAACCGGATACTACAAAGTAATATAATTATGTGTAAATTGTGTGCATTGCATGTTCGATTTTTACATGTTTTACGGTTTGCTTGTATTGGAAATGTTATATCAGAAAAGATGTACAAGCATGTTGTTCCAAAAAGTTTTCGAATCAATTTAGGATAAATAATTGTAATTGGAAATAAAATTTGATGTCAAAATGAATCCAAATTCTTCTTTTTACTTTTCTTCATTATTCTAGATTGTTTCACCAGATGCTAAGTGGGTACAGATGATCAATCAGATTTGGATACGTAAAATTAGTGCATGTAGATAGGCATTGTAATCAATTTTTTTTTGTAATTGTAAGCACGATTAATACCTACTTTGTATGTTTTTGGTTATCTACATTTGGTTATAATAATTCATATGTATAAATTCACTTATGCGATCAAAAGTATGCCATCAGAAGTGCCACTTCAAGTAGAAAAACAATTCATCTCAAGTTTTTTTGCTGCTCTTGATTTCTGAAAAGTTCACCACATACTAAAAATTTCCCA